TAGCTTCTTGTTACTACTAGTAAGGCACTTGTTACTAGTAGCGATGCCCTTGGTTACTAGTAGCTTCTTGTTACTACTAGTAAGGGTTCTTGCTCCTAGTAGCGATGCCAGGAGGTACTAGTAGCATTTTGCTCTGAAGAGATTAACACTGTGTTGCTGCAGTGTGGCTGCGACCATCTTTCTTTGTACTTCTGTCAGACTTCTCTGTTTCCTTTGCTTCGTCAAACACCTCTTGCTACATCTCAGGCGCTTGGCTACACTGCTTCCGACAGAGGGGTCTCAAAGCTGAGAATAAGAGTGCTGATTTTGGCGGAAGCAGCCCCTTGTATTGCAAGAAGCTACTAGCAATAAAGGGCATCGCTACTGGTAGCAAGGACGCTACTAGTAGCTCCTGGCCGTACTACTAGTAACAAGAAGCTACTAGTAACAAAGGGCATCGCTACTAGTAACCATTGTTCTGAGGTCACTTATTTCTACAACGGTTTCCGTGGGTTGAAACACTTGGAATGAGAGGCTGCATTGGTCTTCATGACATCAAGCCAGTGTCTGCCGTATTGTCATCATCTTGTTGTACTTGCAATGAATAGTATCCCTTCCCAGCCATTGTGGCTGCTCTAGGACTCTAGGTTGGAAGCCCTTGGAGGCCATCGCTTGTACGTTGGAGGCCATGGCAATTCGTTTGAAAGCCTTTTCCCTTCGATGGCCTCCAACCTAGTAGCGTCCTTGCTTCTAGTAGCGATGCCAGGAGCCCCTAGTAGCGATGCACTTGCTCCTAGTAGCTTATTGTTTCTAAAAGCTTCTTGTTACTACTAGTAAGGCACTTGTTACTAGTAGCGATGCACTTGCTCCTAGTAGCGTCCTTCCCTGCCTGTCAGGTTCTGGGAGCTGAAATGTCTTTGGAGCCTCGCAAAACGACAGGGTTCCCTCGAGGCGTAGCTGGGCGGCGCCAGAATGAAATCAATCAAGGAATCCTTTCAACCATTTTCAACCTGATTACGACAATACTAGGAACAAGTGCATCGCTAGTAGCAACAAGTGCCTTACTAGTAGTAAGAAGCTACTAGGAACAAGCAAATCTCTTTCTCAAATGAAAGACGGGTATAGAGAGTAGAGAGCCATGTCGTACTTTGTCTGGGAACTGACAAAGAATTGAGACTGGTGGAATGCTTTCTGGCCACAATGGTCAAACAGTGATTTTGGCCTGAGCGGCTTTGGCCTCTTTCTCCTTCTTTTTGGGTGCCATGAAGGCATCGACAAAAGGAAGGATGCAAAAGTGGGAAAACGGGTCAAAGTTGCTGCATGGTGGTCTGTTATGTCCAATGCCGCTGCCACAATAGTCGCTACACCAACCTCTTTTGCATTAGCTCTTGAGCGCCTATGGCCTCCAACGTAGTAGCGATGGCCTCCAACCTACTGCAATGAGTCTCTGCGCTCTCAGGGAGAGGGTCGTGACAAAAACCCAAGGTGTATGCCGCAGAATCCGAGACTTTCTCATGGCTTCGCCATCAACACTACTGATCTTGATATGACTTTGTAGATGCATACTGCTGAGCTCCAAGTTGTTTCCAAAGCATCTCTGCTTAGAACTTTGTGTAGTTCCAAAAGCGTGCGAAAGCTTAGCGAAAAAGGAGCCAAGACATGCACAACGTGGACAATGGTGGCTGGCCGGCCACGGCCAGCTGGGTCGATATCTAACTCAAATGGCCACGCAAGCTGCTTGGCTAGCTAGCAAACCTGTCCCACCTACCGTTCCTTTGACTCATTGTGTGAATTTGTCAATTTCATGTTAGACCACTGCCCATCTCTCTCGATCTGCTTTTCGTCACAGGGTGGTCTTTGTCCAGCTGGAGAGAGTGGTGCCTGGCGTGTATGACGCCCTTTTAGTAAAGGGAAGAAAGACAGGAACAGCGAAAGGCCTAAGAAAGAAAAGTAAGTCTAAAGGAAGGAAAGGAAAGGAAAGAAGCCCTTAAGCTGCTGAAGCCGCCTTTCTTTTTGGACGTCTACCGTGTTGGTTTTCCGGGAAAGAAAAAGGACGTGAAGTTCATGAAAGGACCAAAGAATGGGAAAATCGGTCTACAAACACCACAACAAGAAGCATCCAAAGCATCCATCAACCCAAAACTCATAGTTGTTACAGAGACACTCAATCCAATTACTTACTCTAATGGAAATCCTCTCAGTGTACTCAAGTTTCCCTAAACATCAAGGGCGTCCAGATACTGGGAGCCTCCTAAGTAGCAACGGAGCGAGCAACTGTCTCCATTACTGAATAAATTAGAATTAAATTAGCTTATTGTTTCTAATAGCTTCTTGTTACTACTAGTAAGGCACTTGTTACTACTAGCGATGCACTTGTTCGTAGTAGCTTATTGTTCCTAATAGCTTCTTGTTACTACTAGTAAGGCACTTGTTACTACTAGCGATGCACTTGTTACTACTAGCAACAGCCTAAAATCGGACCTGAAAAAAAGAGACATCCTACACATCTGACCGGTGAGGTCGACCTCGCCTGGCGAGGTGTGCAAGTTGTAGGCGAAGACCACCCGATGGCGCACTCCATGATGTGGCGCCACACCGTGCACCAGCCAAGATGGGAAAATCAAGCTGAGCCCGGTTTTCGCATCAAAATAGGCCTCAGGTGTTCGAAGGCCTAAAACATCTTCAAAAACCAATGATCGAGTTTTGTTTCTAGCTTGGAGGCCATCGCTAGCTTGGAGGCAAGTAGGTTGGAGGCCATCGCTAGGAGCAAGGACGCTACTAGCTTGGAGGCCATCTCTGTCGCTGGGGAGCGAAGAAGCGTGAGCTTTCTCGCGTCCGGTCGTGAGCTATTTGACTTCACTTAGCTTTATATTGTACTCATAAAGGTTACCTCCTTAGCGGCCTCCCCCAAAAAAATGTTTAGGATAGATACTCCTTTATTTAAGATATACTCTCCTTAGGATCTTAGGATGCATTAAGTTAAACGTACTTCAAAAGGAACTCTTAACAGTCAAGTGCGACCTTTTGTTCCTTCTTCCTGTTCATTGCTTCTATATGCTTTTATGCTGTCTTCACTGTCTTCTTTCATTGTGAGAAAAAAAAAAGCAAGGCTGTACGGGATCGTGAGAAGAGCACTACATGACGAGACCTTTTCTTGCGTTTCTTCCTTTCCCAACTGTCCCTTCTGTTCTTCATCTTTCAGCCTTTTTCTGTGTCTTTGTCCCATTCCGTACCCTCCATACCTTGTGACTCAGATCCAAGAAACCAACCGATGAAAGGGCGCGGTCGGCTCAAGCCTTCCTCCAACTCCACTGGCATAGCGGAAAGGCGTCGTGCCACGAGGATCCGCAAACACCGTGGGCGTCGATTTCGACGTGGATTTGGCACCATCTCCACCTGCATCTGCGTAGAAAACACCAGAGAGTAATGCCAAAGGATGATCATGAAAGGCAAGGCCCATCCTCAGTTCCACCATGTTCATCGTAACTCTCGAATCGACTCTTTTTGATTGTGAATGGTGGCAAAAAGGGCGCCTTGAGGCATCTTTTCAGCGATGGCCTCCAACCTATTAGATCTCACTGTCGCGTTCCAAAACTAGGTCTCAAATCCCTGGAAAGAATCCCTTGTCAAACATAGACCCATCGGAGATCCTTTTGACCAAATAAAAGTAGAATGTATTCCAAAGACAGAGCAGAAGCGTCGTCTCCCCAGCGGTCAGTGGGGCTGTAACGGAAGCCCAAATCGATAATTCGAGATCTTCCAAGTCTGCCGAAACGGAAGTTTCTGCATAGACTTCTTGAAGATATTCTTTGCAATTTAGCATCACCCGCCATTTAAGTTCTCTAAAGGTTGGATCGCCATAGAGTTCAGGCCATAGTTCTTGCCCTTGTTCTTGTTCGACCCCATGGGTCAACTGCCAATTGAAGAATGCATTGTTGATTTCCACATCTTGAAGCTGCCCAAAGCCCGCTTTGAAGGTGCGGTATTTCTTCAAGACAATGGATGTGAGATGGCGACAAGGCTCGCATCCCGATCCAGGCTGGGATCGGCCAGACGGCTGTGACAGTTCAATTTCCTTTGCCATAATGAACGTGGGAAACACTTGCCACATCTTCTTTTTCGGGAGGCCATCGCTAGCAGTGTTCGAATTCTCCAAATCATCGGAAGGGTTGAAGGAGTCGCGATGTGGGGAGCCCACGGTGGAGCGCCACAAGGCCTTCGGCGCTGTGGCACCTTGCTCCCAATACCGTCGCCATGTCTGCATGTGCGAACGAAGCTCGCTTGATCGAAGAAACGCTGTTGCATTCCGAACGCTATTCCAAACCTTGTGAAGTTGTGTCTTTCCGCCACCCAACGTTCCTTTGCCAGATCGATTCTCATGTGTCTCCAGCCAATTCTGTTGTTGCACCACATCACACATCCAGTCCTGGTCTTGGGGCTCACCAAAGCCACGACTCATGCGGCAGCCCAAGGCCACAGCGGCCAAGGCTTGCGACCAGAAATCCTCGTGTTCAAACGCCGTTCCACGAGACTGTTCGGCCAACGTCACCAACAAGGACGCCACCTCCGCGAACACCTCCGGAGTCGCAGCCGACGCCACAGCCAGCTGCAGGCCGGCGATCACTTGATTCACCGCTTCGTAGAGCATGTGATATTCTTCCACGGGGTCTACTGCACGGGGTCGTTCAAATTCGGAAGAAGCTGCAGCTTGAGATTCATGAGATTCGTTCGAAGCTGCTGAAGCAACAGCTTTCGACGCTTTCGTCACTTCCATCATTTCCAGGCTCCGAAGCCTCTGCGCAGCTTGTCTCAGGTAGATCTGCCAGCGTTGAAGACCTTCCGGAAGACCTTCCACTTCTCGATGGGAACTCCGGAGAGCACTTTGATCAAATTCCGACGAAGAGGCTTCTTTTGGAGCCTCCCGCTTATTTTGTGCTTGTGTTTGATCAAGTCCTTCTTTACTTGCTTCTTGGACGTTCTCTATCGCTTGATTCACCTGGCAGTCGCAGGAGAGCATCCAACAGCACACAATACTTTCAGCAACATCACGCGGACTTTCTATAGGGAAACGCGCTGCTCAAGCTCTCTCTCTCTCTCTCTCTGCGGATCTGCCGCACCGTGGTACGGTAGAACCACGCACAGAATGACAGGTACGCACGACGGTACGCACGACGACGGTAGCATGACGATACAAACCTCGCGATTTGGAACTCAACAAGGCGCATCTGTAGGAACAAGTGCATCGCTACTAGTGACAAGTGCCTTACTAGTAGTAACAAGAAGCTACTAGGAACAAGTGCCGTACTAGTGTGTCGGGAATCGAACAACTCCCCCAAAACATGCCACTCCGCTGTCCTATCCGTGAACTCGGTTCATTTCGACAATAAGGTATATGTATCAGGCATGGTCTTTCCAAGTTGTTGACCTTGTATCAAGTTTTAGACCTATAATCGATCTATCAAATGCCAGGGCTGTTCCTGATGTTTCATTTCAAGCGACGTCCTGCCTTTGCAGCGTGAAAGAACATAGAGACATGGGTTTCTTCTTTTCTTGTTCGTCTTTAATGGCCTCCAACCTACCGATGTCCACCCGAGTAGCGATGGTTCCCGCCTTTGCAGCGTGAACTAGTGCGGCCACTTCTGCTGAAAGGGACGTACTTCTTTGGTCGGAAGACATGTCCGACTTCTCCTTGTCAGCGGCAAAGGCGGCACATGTACAGTCAGTTTTGTCACATCCTTTGTGGACAAAGCAGACACATGCATGAGCAAGAGGGTCAACTTGGGGTCAATTGGCAAAGGCTAACGTCAAAGCTGCAAAACCTCCAAGTCCGCCTCTTTCTACAGTGGAAAGCTCCAATGACCAAAACTGCACAGCGAAAAAAAAAATCCAAATTGACCACTTAGTGACCCAGCACTTGTCGCCCTTGCAGTCCCGCTGTTCGCCCACGTTCCACGGCGCATCTTCGACTTCCTGCATAGCACTCTGCGCAGCGGCAACGATGGCAGCACGGGCGGACGATGCATCCGCCACAGGCGGCGCTCTCGGGGGTAGAGGACCAAGCGAAATGGCGACGGGCGGCAAAAACCTGAAGCATCAGCGATCAACTTCCGAGTTGGGCTGTATGACTAAGATCCACGGGGGAAACATACAGGAAAGCTTTAGAGTCAATCTAAAAGGAATTTAGAGAGCAAAAACCGCAAAGCTTAGTTAAGTCTAAAGTTCGAGGTCTTGAGTAGCATGAACTTGATGTTTCCTAGGTCTTGGACCTATCACATTTGTTGGCCCTTAGGTCTTCGACTTTGCTCCCACCTTTCATGTGTTTCTGCCAAGCCGAAACTGGATGTATCAGCCGCCGCTGCGACCTCATCCACAGCTGCTTTGATCGCTTGATCCCATGGCTTGGCCGCGGACCTGCGCGATGAGATTTTAATGTTCCATTACAAGCACATGCGTCTTACTTAGGCCTGCATGACAACCCCAAAAATTCGTTATCAGCTATTACTCCATCTTACTACACTGTTGAGTGATGGAAAGGGTAGGAAACAACGCCTTCAACGGTTTTGTGCAGAAAACACACGTTTGCAAAAAATGAAAATTACCAAGAAAACGGATTTCCGAAAAAAAAACACATGTATTGACAGACTCTCCTGACAAGCGCTGCCTGGCATGTGCACTTGCACTATGTTGTGACACTTGTTCCGACATCCTTCCTGGCATGTGTTCTGACACCTGTCTTACCGTCAAGTCTGACACGTGTTCTTGTGACATATGGTCCAATTTCTAGTCTAAGATGTGTTCAGAGATTTGTTCTGTCGTGTATTCTGACATTTCTTCTGGTCTGCGCGCAACCTGCCATTTTTGCCAACATGTGTTCTGACATACGCTCCGACATTTATCCTGATATGTCTGCTGCCACCTATTCCAACAATTGTTCTGGCACGACGTCTGGCATGGTGTTCTGACATTTGTTCTGACGTACCTTCGGGCCCTTCGGGCGTCTACTCTGACAACTGTTCGGACAAAAGTCCAGCGTGCTTCACTCTGCCGACTGAACCCCTAGAAGCGGAGGGCGCTCCAATCAAGTAGGACAAGTTTGAAATATGTGAAGCATGGATAGTGGTAGAGATTCCCCTGACATTTGCATGATCGTTCGTTTTTGCACCACAAATGGCGTTCTGCCCCTGAGGGCAAATTTGTGATAAAGTTCCTCTGGTGTTTGTGCGCAGTTCAACATCAGAGATCTGACACACGCCATTTGTCGAGGTGTGTTTTGCGATGCGTTTTTTGTCTCGCAACTGCGAGGAACAAAACATTGGGCAGCAACACTTTTTAAAACCCTCTCAAACCTTTCGGTATGTTTCAGATGTTCTACGTCTGAACATAACAAAAGTGACACCGTGTAGTCACGCGTTAGCGATGAACGTCATCACCCCCACCCCACATGCTGTAAAACGCACACGCTTACACGTACAAGCCATCCGTTGGCAAACAGGTGCAGCAAAAGTTGGACCAAGTCATGTCCACACCCGTCAGGCTCACAAGCGCAACTACCTCAGACTGTTGTTCTTGCCCCCAGGTTTACACAGAAGGATACCACGCGTAGGCTTTGTTGAGGGTACCGCATTCTCAATCTGAAACCCTTGTTGGATAAAGCAATCTATTTTTTGGGTTGGGGCTTTTACACTGCAAACCTGATTGGCGCCTACGCCGGGACGCCTACGCGAGCAGACGCCACGGCGGGCAAACGCCTCTTGTATTTGCTTCTGTTTCTACTCAATCGCTGAAGTAGCCCAGGAAATGATGATGAACTCGGGGTTGAAAATCACTACCAAGCACCAAGACCAGAGCTCTTTTGCAATGGAAGGCACCAGGCCGGCCAGTGACAGCCCACTGTTAGCTGCCAATCACGCGTTCCCACACACATACATGCCTACACAGGCCTACGCTGAGCCCGCGCGGAGCCTTGATGAAGATTGTCTCAAGCGAGAGCGTGAGCAAATCCAGAAGCGTGGCTGGATTTGATGGTTGCGACTGCAGCTTTCAACTTGCTTCCTCGTGGGCCTAGTGACTGGCCTGGTGCGTTGTTCATGTTCTACTCTGCCACTTCACCTTGCAGCTCTGCTGCAAGCGCTTTTAAGCAGGTTCACTCCACACCGGAACTTCCTCGCAAAGAGTCAGCCCGCTGATACGTTCTGCTGCCAAGCCGTTCTCAAGTGGCCACGGGTGACCAAGATGGAGAACTGCAAGAGGAAGTTGTCCAACCTGCGCCGCTGGCCAACGCCTTTGTCTTGAAGAGCCAGGCGCAGGCGCTGGTCATAAGCACACCAACCCTCTTGCTGCCCCCGACAATTGGCTAGCTGAAGATGCCTGAGACGTTGAGGATCGAGAGGTTTGTGGATCTTGACTGGCCCGCTGTCCAACTTCAACCTCATCATGTCACTGAAGCGACGTTTGCCCTCAAGCCTACGCCCTTGGACTTCCTGGATCCCTGTCCTCCAACATGCGCCGCCACTCCACGCGACGCAATGGCTGCGCGCTGCATACCCGCGAAAATCGTTTACACATCTGCGAGGCGATGATGTTTCCTCCGATATTGCTTCTTGCGCCAGGAGCACCTTCCAATGTGGAAAGCACTACACGCTCCACCACCTTACGCAGCAACTTAGAGGCACCCGGCTGAGCCGCAGGGTCCTCAAAGGACGCCACGATGGCCCCCCCAGATCCGAAGAACGTAAGTGTCAGTTTTCACGCGCTGGAACAGCTCCACGACCCATAAACCCGTAGGCAGCAACCCAAAACCTTTAAGTGCTTGCAACTGCCTGCGCCATTTGCTGAGCCAAAGTTTTTAGCGCAAGAAGCAGGCTCACTTCAGAGCTGCTCTGAACACGGCAAGGGCGTATGAGAAGCTGCGACTCCCTGAAAGCGATCGTCAGTGCCTTCACACAAGAGGCAGCAGAGCGCGCTCGCAATGCCCCTTCCTCTTTCCATCTCTTTCCTGACTCAGCACTCCATCACCATCTGCCATGGGCCGCAATGACAAAAGTGGAAGTTCAAAAGTAGAGTCAGCCCGGTTGAAATCTCAGAGCATTGAGTTCATCATGACAAGTGTACGGCTGTGAACGTCTTCAAGTTCAACCCAGGCGACGGTTCCACGGCCTTGCGTGCTCTGTTCGCCCTGATCACTCGCGCGATCTGCCCAGGTCCAAGAGGTATGGCGCCCTTTAAAGTTTGCAAGCCAAAGGCCAAGTACGGAAAGGGCGCAAAGAAGTGAGCAAAGGCCAAAACACCGATGTCAAAGGGGGTCAAGACTGGGATCAAGTAGGGTTGCCGTGGAGGGTGTCCCCCGCTATCACGGGCAAAGCAAAGAAGCACTCAGGAGACCTCAATCAAGAAGTGTCACCCACCAGGCCTCAGTGAAATGCCGATGCGCTCGCCCCGACTGCGCTAGCCTCCCCTTCTACCCAATCATCAATCCATCGACCTACCTACAAGTGACTCAAGGCGCCAATGATGCTAGCCATGAATCGACACTTTTTCACACTCTCTGCCACACCTTTTACCCCATGCTATCTGGCCCGCGTGGAACCCCAAAAGGCGCCTCTGCCCCCACACCCCCTTAGTCTCCTCACTTCATTCGCTGAACAACTCCCGCCTCCTATCGGCTGGCTTTCGTGACACGTGGAAGACACGTGTTCTTTTTTCGTAAAAAAACATCAATTGGGTTGGAGGCCATCGCTATTAGGTGGGAGGCCACCGCTTCTAGGTTGGAGGCCATTGCTCTTAGAAAATCAAAAGAAAATTGCGTTTGCTTAAATTGTTGTTTAAAGCTTCTAGCTACTAGTGGCGATGCCCTTATTACTAGCAGCGATGCACCTGTTGCTAGTAATTAGCGACGCATTTTTTTAAATGGCCCAGCTGGATGGACCATGGTTCTCTTCTGGGCCTTGCCACCAGCAGCAAGAGCAGCTGCCCCATGGCGTCATGCTTCTCTGCATGTTCTGCCGCTCTAATTTAGGAGCAAGGAAGCTACTAGGGGCTCCTGGCCTCGCTACTAGTAACAATAAGCTACTAG